ATCCAGGGATTTGGCTGGCAGGGAAAGCGCCGAGGATTCGAAACATGACAGCGGACATGTGATCGTTTCAGTTGGGAGGATTTTCTCAAGTTCGTGGGCAGCTATATATTTTCTGTGAAATTACTCAAATAAGTTTCCCATCGTTGCGAACGTTAGTTTCCCCTGTCGATACCTATTTCCCGTAATCTGCGTGTGGACAGATTTTCGATCTTATAATCAGAACTATCGCCTGCACTGTCGCTCTGCTGCCCACGCTGGTGTTGCCATCTGAATTTTCACGCCGCCTCCCTCGAACTTGCCGACCCCGAAGGTTGTGGTGCGTTCGTAGAATCAGGATACATCAGTCAGGCAATGCTTTCCGGGTGATGGGCTTTTATGCCAGGTCTCCGGTGTTATAACGGTGGCGGTCTGTGGTGTCGCCGTTTAATTACGCCCTTTTGAATCCCCAAAGAGTTACACAATAGGAAGGGCGTAAAACTTTAATCCAACCGGAGGAGAGTTTATTGTGTACAAAACCTGGAGTTGCTGTCTCGGAAGGCAGTTGTGCCGCTGGCGTAAAGCCAGCGTGCTGTATGTCCCGCCTTGGGGCGAAGCCCGGCAATGGGACGGATTGGCGGTGTCCTTGTTAGTCCATGTTGCAACTTACTGTCTTAGAGGTGACAGTGGCTTATAAGTGATTGTCAAGCGTGTTGGTTGCGGCATGATTGGGCGCGTCGGAATAAGGTCACCTATAGCGTGAGGCACCTAAGTGGCCCTTGAGGAAGTTAGACGTGCGTGGGCTCGCGTGCGCGTGTGTCCTGCCCATTGATTTAAGGTCATTGTGAAGGCATATGAACTTCGAGGCAGTCCGCCTCGACAAGGGAATCATCGTGACAATCGGTCACAGACAAGACGCCTCAGGAAGGCTGACATCTGGTTAGGCTAGACTCCTAACCTCCAGTATCTCCCTGTTCCTTCGGTTATTCCTCGCTCGATGATTTGGATGCTTTAGAAATAAAGACCCACAGAAAGGCTACGTCCACCATCAGAGTGGGGGGGGCAGCCTTTAATACAGGGTGTCCCAAAAAAACGTATATACATTTTTAATAATTGTAAGTTTGTCGTTCATTAAATTTTTATTGTTTCAAAAATATAAATAAACTTACAAGTATCATTTTATTGTTTTTCACTCTATATTCTCGCATTTTGCAACGCTGTCATGGGAAAAATTATATCCAAAGACCACGGCCTAGATCGAAGATTACAGTATTGCGAGTGGTATTTAGAACAATGTCTGGATCAAAATGGACGTCAGTTTGAAAAAAAAACAATCAAATGATACTTGTAAATATTTCTACAATTTTGGAATAATAAAATTATAATAAACTCCAAGTTTACAAACATTTAAAATGTGTATACATTTTTTTGGGGCACCCTGTAGTTACAAGATAATCTATTGTGGTCAGACTAACAATCACATGGTTTTTTCGGGCTTACCTGAAGTTAGAGGGAGTGTCTTGTATCTCCCATTGTTGGTTGAATAAATGGATTGCCTTGTCTGGCTTGTTAAGAATTCAAATGCCAGTCGAAAAAATCTAAGATATGTAGTTGACTCAGCGTCTATCTGCGTGTGATTTGATGGAAGGCGTAAGCCTGCGGTTCGAGGCAAGGTTGGCTGTGGTTATGGGTTATTTCACTCGCTTCGTAATGTCTGAATGCCAACTCAAGGCCTATTGATTTTGTCGAGGATTCGAGACCTCTCTCGGGTTTAGGTGCCTAAAAATTATCGGGTGTTTAGAGGGCTTCGCTGTTCGATGCCCATTATAGTTGGCAGCCCCAGCTCATTTTCGTTGGAAGGGTTTCGCTGTTAAATGCTCTTATTTTAATTGAGCATACGAACCGTTAAGAACAAAGTGACACTGTATTTCTGAGGCTCACAGCGCCCAAGTACCTTCAGTCGAAGTAACAGTTTTGTTCTTTCGTTTTCAAGGTTTGGACTGCCAACACATCGAACATTACTTACGAGGGTGTTTCGAATACCAGGTATTCTGCACGTCTATTCTTCTAAACAACAAGGCAAGAAGAATTCATGCAACTTTAGGCGTATGGTCCTATAGCCCAATCAACGCATACACACCACGCCCTGTCCGCCACTACAAAATAGGGTCGCAGGATGGCCAGACGTTGTTGTTCCTTGTGTTGAAAGGAGTGCTAAGGAGGGGATTTTAACTAGGATAGAAAGCTGAACGGTCTGGGGCCACCTCAGCACTCTGTTTGCCTGTCTTCACCAAGGATGAGTGTTTTATAAAGCCGAACGAATGCAACCAATAAGTAGTGCGTGGGCCGAGGTCGGCACCAATGCATCAGCATACACAGACATTGATCGTGTGCGTTCAGCTCGCGAGAGTGTGTAGTAACCTTGTGAAAGCGCGTACCAGCGTCAGCCTTGAGTTATCGCTGGATCAGGTAAGTAGT